CCCAAGCTCTCTTTTTTTTTCCTCTGTTTCGTATATCCTTCCCCTGTTCTGCCGTCCGCCCAATTAAAACCAAAAGCAACGCCTTTTCTTTCTTTTTTTTTTCTTTTGTTTCCGCCGAACCCACCAGATATATAACCAAAGCAACCTTAATCTCAATCTTTTTTCTTTCTTTAGTTCACTTGTTACGCAACCCGGTAAAGAAAACAAAAACAATATTAAGTAAAAAAGCAAAAATGCAAAATCATTATTATAACCTACTAACAGAATTTAATTAAACCAAGTAATAAGGCAATTTATACCATACACCCCGGTGTATAGAGCTATGTACGCCCAGCATCAAAACGACGCCGTATGGAATTGTTATGTAACGGAATTTTTTTTATTAGTCTGTTAACGCCGTCAAACGGTAAGAAGAGGGAAGTGAGAGAGCGGCTCTAAAGACATGATGTCGTCGCCGATCATGCATATTGGATTAGAGAACACGAGAGCTACCTGATTGTTCGATTTGCATCGTATTCTGCAATTGTTGGATGGAAGCCATGTCTGATTTGATTGCACAGCAGGATGTGGCGGAGACAGAGCATACAACTGATCCTGTTGGAGTGGTAGATACAGAGGATGCTAATCCAGGTATTTGATTTTTAAGATTTTATTTTGTATTTGTGTTTGATGTATGATGAATATATTGAACTCGGTGTTGAATTATATAAGAATTGATATAGAATTTCTGTTTGATCGTGGTTGTTTTGGATGTTAGTATGGTTTGATTTGAAGTTGTTGTTTCAGTGAGGTTGTACGTGTATTATATGGTTTGATTTGTTTGGTTTTATGATTATGTGATTGTGCCATATGTGTATGTGTATTGTAGTTATGGATTATGTACATTAACAGTATGCGATATAGGTTTTATGTATTTTAATGATTATGTGTATTGTGCCATATGTTTATGTGTATTGTAGATATGGATTATGTACATTAACAGTATGGGTAGTTAAAATGTATGTTATTTGCAGCTGATCAGGATTTGGTAGGGATGTCAGTGTGTTCGGTTGATGAAGCATATGACATGTATAATGATTATGCCTTTAGAGTAGGTTTTAGCGTGAGGAGGGGTAAGCAAAGATATAGTTCTGCTACAAAAACAATGAAAACGAAGATGTTCCATTTTTCGAAGGATGGTTTTAAAAGAAGTACAGGAAAAGGGTGTTATTCTAAAATTGATGGTCGTACAGGTTGTGGTGCATTTGTCCAATTCGATTTACATGAGAATGGGATGTGGATTGTTTCGAAGCATGAGAAGTTGCATAATCATGAATTGGTTCCACCAAGCAAGAGTTACCTTCTAAGGTCACATAGGATGGTGTCTAGGAATCATATATCATATCTTACTGATTTGAAGAGCAGTGGTGTGTCTGTTGCAGATGGTGTAAGATTACTTAAAACACAATCAGGGGGATCACCACTTGTTGGGTTTACAAGTAGGGATGCATATAATTCTCTATGTACCGATGCATTGAACAGATTGGATGGTACCAATTCAAACACATTGATTGAAATATTCAAACGGAGGCAGTCAAGTGAAAGGGATTTTTACTTTGATTTTGAGGTGGATTTGGAGTCAAGGTTGTGCAGTTTTTTTTTGGAGGGATGGACGGATGAGGAGAGACTATGATTTGTTCGGGGATTTGCTAGTTCACGATACAACATATCGTACTAACAAATATGACATGATTTGTGGACCTTTTGTTGGCATGAATAACCATTGCATGAATGTTATGTTTGGATGCGTTTTTTGATGAATGAGAAGATTGAGTCATTTGTATGGTTGTTTAAGACATTTTTGAGATCTATGGATTACAAAAGTCCACAAAGCATAATGACTGATCAATGTGCTGCTATGGCTGCTGCAATTGTTCAAGTTTTTCCAAGTTCACGACATCGGCTATGTATATGGCATATTGGCGAGAACTCAAAGAAGCACATTAAAGGGTTAAGAAATCAAAAAGATTTCCTAGATATATTCAATTGCTTGTTGAAGTATACGGATACAGAGGCGGAGTTTGAATTTTACTGGACGAGGTACGTGTCTGATGTATGCTTCGTTATTTTGTTTTTTTTTTTTTTGTTTTTATTATTAGTTTACACATGGATTATCATTGAATGAATAGTTGTAGATTATATTATACAGAATACAGAATTATTTTTCTGGATCAAGTTTATGTGTATCTGTTTGATAGTTTATGTGTCTTCATGTATAAGATTATGTACATTAGTCTGTTCTGTATGTTATATACTGACATGCTTGTAGGTTTACTTTAATATATCTATGGCATGTTATTTCAGGATGGTTACAACATATAAATGTCACAATAATCACTGGATTGAAAAGTTGTATGGGTGTAGAGAAAAATGAATAGTTTACACATGGATTATCATTGAATGAATAGTTATAGATTATATTATACAGAACACAGAATTATTTTTCTGGATCAAGTTTATGTGTATCTGTTTGATAGTTTATGTGTATTCATGTATAAGATTATGTACATTAGTCTGTTCTGTATGTTATATACTGACATGCTTGTAGGTTTACTTTAATATATCTATGGCATGTTATTTCAGGATGGTTACAACATATAAATGTCACAATAATCACTGGATTGAAAAGTTGTATGGGTGTAGAGAAAAATGGTGTCCTGCTTTTAATAAAGATTATTTTTCGGGTGGGATTTTATCTTCTCAAAGGAGTGAGACCACCAATCACTCTATTTCTAGAAGGTTGTCCAAGACATCTGGTTTGTGTGATTTTTATAACTCTTTTGTTGGGGTCATATCAGAGTGGAGAAGTAGAGAGAATGGGGAAGATGTTCGGTGTTCACAAGGTGTACCCACAATGGTGATGGATAATGTTAAGATTCTGTTGCATGCTAGGGAAATTTATACAATTGAGATATACTATTTGTTTGAAGAACAATTTTTGAAAGGTGGATCATGCTATCAAGAGTGTGTGATGTTGGAAGATGGTGTGTATAAGTATCATGTCTGGAGGCCTGATGTTGATATTATTAGGCATGAAGTGGTGTTTAACAGTAGACAAATGGACATTGGATGTAGTTGCAAGTTGTTTACTGAATTGGGGATTTTGTGTTGTCATTGTTTACGCATTCTAAATGTGCATTGTGTTTCAGAAGTCCCCGAGAAGTATATTTTGAAGAGGTGGACTAAAAAGTTGTTGAAGTTGATAATGTTGATATAATGTCTAGAGTTGATAGTGGTAATGGTGCATCTTCTGTTTGGTTATTAGAAATCATTAGGAAATTTCAGAGGCTTGCTGTTTATAGTCAGGAAAATATCGAAGGACGGAAGATTTGTGAAGAAGCAATTGCAGATGCAAAGAGAAGACTTGAAGCTGAATGTGGTGGCAGTTTATTTGAAGATTGTGACATAGGATCGACAAGTGGTGTTATAAAGGATCCATCTACTAGGCGGATGAAAGGGTTGCGGAATAGGAGGGTGAGCAGTGTTATTTCAAAGAAATATAACAAAGCAAGGGGACGGAAGCATCTTGCAAATATGGTTGCTTCCAAAATAAAATCTGCTGTTCAGTCTCAAGTTGAGGGTGATATTTTAAATATTGCAGGCGATGGATATCTTGTGCACCCAAGTTCCGGAGGTTCTAGTTTTTGTCACGTTAGCACAATGTCAAGCATGGATGATAATTAAAGCACATGTTAGTGTTAATCATCGTAGTAATATGTATCACGTACAGAACGATGTTAAATCACATAACTCAGCAGTAATAAAATAGACTTTTATTATGATATGTGCTGTTTTAAAAGTTTATGTGTATTAATTATATACTTTATGTGTATTCCTTATATACTTTATGTGTATTACTTCATATGATTATGTACATTTTTATTTGTGTTAATTACTTTTATTTATTTATGTACATTTCTTTTTTAGATTTGCAGTTATCAGTATAGGGAAATGATATGCTTGGTCATATGTGTATTATGTACATGTTTACATTCAGTAGGATGTTTGATTATATATATTAGCAGAAACAAAATATTTGTTAGACTTTTTTTAGTAGTATGTGCACTGTTTGAAAGTTTATGTGTATTCATTATATGGGTTATGTGTATTACTTCATATGATTATGTACAATTTTTGATAGTTCACAGTTTTTGTAGTATATGCATTGATTATGCACAAAACCATATTGGGGAATATGAAAAATATAGAATACAAGTAAACATTAGATTGGATTACCAAAAGGAGCATATACAAATTTTTGATAATTGTTTATCAACTGAAACTTCTAGAAATTGAACCAAAAATACAAGTAACCATGTGTTTGGATTAGCATAACTGATTTTTACAGATTGTGGTTAGTAGTTTCACTTCTCTTTCTTGTAGTTGTCCCTTGCTGATTGCATGACTGTTTCCATGTATTTGTTTTTCTTCCACATGATGATATTTGCTGCATATTTTGCTCTAAGCGATGTAATGAAAGCAGCCTACAGTAAACAAAAGATACATGTTAAAATTAGAAGAAACAAGAGATAACATGTGTAATGTAGAACAAAGTTGATTATTACTTACATCACTATCACCCCTACGAAACCTGTTTCCCATTTGTCTACTGCAGTCCCTTTGTAAGTTTCCATGTGGCGCATGCAATACATACCACAATCTGTTGTGTTCTCTTCATCTTGCCATGGCATGTGAATGCACTCAGCTTTGATATTCTTCACTTTTCTTGCAAGGGTGTTTTTCTTCGATTGGAGGTATTTGTAGAAAGCTGTTTTCTGCACATTATAGTAATTGCAGTGTTTAATTAATTTAAGTAATGTAAATATTAAACTATAGTGTATAGATATTTAATAGGAGTATTAGTTTATCTTACCAACTTAGCCGGGCAGTTCTCATATCTGTTCGTATTAGGTATTCCCTTGGGCATTAGCTTGTTATCAATGATCTGAAGTTTTGACTTGGGGATGTTAAAGCACATCAAGTAGTAGTGATTGTGCCTCAAGATTGTAAAGAAAACCTGAAATGAATAATTAAAAGGTATTTAACAAATTGTGTCAAATACATACATAAATTCAATAATCTTAGAATTCATATATATATATATATATATATATATATATATATATATATATATATATATATATATATATATATATATATATATATATATATATTGTTTTACTTACAAGACTTGCATCTGTGATATCAATTGCAGTCCCCCTCAACTGGTAGTCAATATTTGCACAGAAGTCTCCTATATCCATATTCCTTGCTTTTATTTCAACATTTTCAAGCGTCATCTGCAAAGAAGAGGTTGTGTGTCATATAGTACATTGTTTTAAAAAAATGCGTTAGTTGTAGATGTGTACTTACGTAAGCAGCTTCCGAGAAGAAGATCCTTTTTGGTTGATCAATTGATCTTTTCATATCAAGCACTGTCAATCTGTGTGCCCAGATTTGCAGGATATTTGTAGCTAGTTGTCCATTTGCCAATGTTGCAATGTCCTCCCTCGTTGCAAACAGATCATGGGCAGAAAACAACATTTCACTGGAAACAAACGAAAACAAGTTGATATTACAAAATAAACATTTCACAATTTAAAGTAATATAATGTCATGAAGTAATACACGTAACATATAACCAGGACACCAATGTACATAATATCATGAATGAATACACATAACATATACCATGAATACACATAACATATATCAGGAATACACATAATGTGGTATATCAACTGAGAACACCAATGTACATAATATCATGAATGAATACACACAACATATACCATGAATACACATAACATATATCAGGAATACACATAATGTGGTATATCAATTGAGAACACCAATGTACATAATATTATGAATGAATACACATAACATATATCATGAATACACATAACAAATATCATGAATACACATAATGTGGTATATCAACTGAAAGCATCTGTTATAACAAGTTATAAATGAAATACATACTAATACGGGTACTCAGTTTCATCTGATGGCAGGAATGCATAGTCTGAGATCAGTTTTTCCCTGGCGGAAACATTCTTGAGCTTTGAAATGTTGCTTGTCCAGTACGGGGATCGACAAGCCAGAGGGAGGTTTTTGAACTTTCGCTGTGGCCTCTTCCGGACATTGACATCTTCAACATCATCTTCAGATTCAGCAATGATGCTTTGTAGAGACAGAAAAGTAATTAGGAACATGTTTTAATGTGTTAAGCAGTAGGCATAACAACATGATTAAATAATTAACAAGGATAAATGCACATAAGGATACTGTTAAGTGATATGTGAGTTTTACCTATCAAACTCAATTTGTTCTGGAGTTTTCTGTTCAGTTGCTGGTAGTGATTGGGGTGAACCATCAGCTATGTCATCAATGATATTCTCCAAGAGTGTTGCAATTGGGGTAAGTGCTGCTGCTGCTGTGTTTCCTTTGGTTGTTTGTGGTGGTGGTGTGGTGGGTGATGCTGATAGAGTTGCTGCTCGGGGTTCAGATGTGGGTTTGGGCGGAGGTGGTGTTGTTTCAGGTGGAGTTGCATTTCTTGGGGCCTCTTCGGGAGTAGCGTCATGGCTAGTTGGCGTCAGGAGATTAAAAGTTGGTGCGGGTATGTCAGCAGTTGTCATGTTCTTCAATGTTGCCAGGAATGCCGCTTCAAGTTCAGCAACCGCATCCAAGAAACTAGGTTGGTTGTAGATATCATCATCTCGCAGTAAGTTTTCCGGTGGGGTTGCATTCGGGCTTGGGGTGAGGTTGGCAGTGGCGGATAAGTTGCTGAACACATTTTTTATAATCTCAACAACAGAGGTGTTTGCCCCAACATCTGCCATGACCTCACCGAACTCCATAATGCTCGTGGTCATCTTTTTCAATGCGGTGGTGACCTTTTCAACTTCCTGACCTTGTGGCAGTTCACGGGGTGGTGGCAGTTGAGGAGGTGGTGGCTGATGTGCATCTGGGATATATTCAACGACTTTGCCCTTTCCAAAGCCGCCTATGTCTCTTTCAACCTTGACCCTTGCCCTCAAATCATTTGAAGTCCATGAAGTGATGGTGGGAATTCTCTTTCTGACTATTTCTCCTCTAACCTGCACTTTGTCTAGGTATGCCAACTTCAAATAGAGAAACAAAAAGAAGAAGATAAACCATTCAAAATCAGTATCAGTTTATGTTTAGGTTGGTAGAGTAGGATACACATAAAGTTATTAAAAGATGTACATAATTATAGTCTACAATGTACATAATGTATATCATGAATACACATAAGGTTATAGGTCAATATACAGAGTGCATACCATCAGGAAAGTTGCAGGACCAGTGAAGGCTGCATCATGTTTTCCCCTCCATGTTGTGGTGGTGTCAACAAGAGATCGTATCGTGTAAGCACACCAGTTGAAGTCTTGGATCTTGCTGACATCTTGCAGTGAATACAGGAGCCTGTAGTTGCAGAACATGTTCTTGAAGCCTCTTATCAATGTGGAAACAACATAGATTATGAAGTCACGTTTGAACATGTCTCCATGATCACGCCTCTCAATAATGTCATTCAGCATCTGGCTTGTAGTTGGTGTGCCTGTCTTCACTCCCCACCGCTGTCTCCAAAGTGCAACCAAGCCAGTGAACTGTGGGTCCTTGCTTGTTATTTCAGCCTCCACAACAGTATGTTGGCCTCTGGGGATGCCAAGTGTTTTCTGTACATCATCATCTCCTAGAAGGAGCTCCTCCTCTTCCAGATGTATTGAGCATCTACCAACATCAAAGCGCTCAAGAAGGTATCTCAGAAGTTCACAATCACACAAGGACAGTGTTGCATTTAAAAGGGATCCAAATCCCATATCTCGAACAGCTTGGTGCTGTTCTGGGCTCAGACTACTGACGAGTGCACAGAGCTGCTTTGGGGAGGTCCGTACAGATAAATAATCATTGTTTCTTGGTTTCCTCCTCTTCTGTTTTTCCTTACTTCTTATGCTCTTTGGGGCTTTGGCAGGTTCAGCAGCTGCACTGGCATGGGTTTTCTTTTGTTTTTTGGCAGGTTCAGCAGCTGCACTGGCATGGGTTTTCTTTTGTTTTTTGGCAGCAGGCTGTTTGGGGGCATCACCGGCATTTGTACTGGTTTCAACATTTGGTGATTCAGAACATGTTTCAGCACCCTTTGACGAAGCAGCGGTATTTTTCTTTCGTTTACCCTCTCTGGCAATTTGTAGTAGTGTAGGATCAGACATGGTTGTAGGTGTTGATGTAGGTGCAACATTCCTTTTTCTGGGAGATCTCCGGGGATTAGTGGGTGTAGGGGTTGACATATCTGTAACAACACAATACACATAAATACAAATATAAGGAATACGTAACACTAATATTAACACCAAATAGGCAGTAGATTGGGATTGAGAATTTTACAGGGGTGCAAATATACAATGTACATAATCTAATGAATGAATACACATAATGTATAACTAGGATACACATAATGTTGAATATAAGAAAAATGGTTATCTATGATGAGGTATAGGAACTGAGAACATTAATGTACTTAATATTATATCAGAATAAACACAAGTATAAGTAATATGTAACCCTAGTTGACATAATAACATAATACACATAATAACAGTTTTAAGTATTAGGTAACACTAATATTAACACCAGACAGACAATATACTGGGATTGAGAAGTTTGCAGGGATGCAAATGTGTAATGTACATAATGCTATGAAGAAATACACATAACATATAACCAGGATACACATAATTTTGGAATAGAAGAATAATGACTATCTATGATGAGGTATAGCAACTGAGAACACTAATGTACATAATATAATGAATGAATACACATAACATATACCATGAATACACATAACATATATCAGGAATACACATAATGTGGAGTATAAAAATAGCGGTTATCAATGATAAGGCATAGGACCTGAAAACAGTAATGTACATAATCTTATACCAGAATATACACAAGTCCAAGTAATATGTAACCCTTGGTATCGTTGCTGTATTAACACAATGAAGTAATAGCATGAATGTTTGGAAGGAGAAGTAATAGTAGTTATGCTTACTTGTATCTTTGCGATGTTGTATGCCCTTTTGCAGAAGAATGTGGTGAAGTTTTTGCGGTTTTTGGCGTAGTTCGCGAAAAAAATGTGATCGTTTTTGAATTGCAGGGAGTGGTAATTGAAGGCTTCGTGAAGAAGAAAGGTTTGATATATATATATATATATATATATATATATATATATATATATATATATATATATATATATATATATATATATATATATATATATATATTTTAAATGTGATTGGACGGACGGAGAGGCGCCTGTCCCGTCAAATATCCACTAACGGAGTAATATTAAAACGCCACCGTTTTGCACGTAGGCGCATAGACCTACGTGCAACGTGGTGTATGGTATAACGATTGAAGTAATAAAATACTATAGTTAAAATAAAATACTATCTACTATATATCTATTATATACTAATAAGAGCCCAAGAGAGTTAGGCCTGGTAGAAAAAATGGCGGTCAAATTTTTTAATCAAATGAATGAATGGCTCAGATTGATCGGATTTTAATTTTTCCTTAAGATTTACTAATTTATCCTTAATGAATATGATTATCCGTTAACTTTTCCGTTAAATATTATCTTTTCCGTTAATTTTTGTTAGTTCACCGTTAACTTATTCATTAATTTCAATAAGAAAGGTCTTAGGTTTGAACCCCATCCTAATCAAAATTGACATAATTAGTACTCTATTTTACTCTTATTAAATTAAATAATAATTTAGTAGCTACAACAAAAAATAATACAGATGCATTTCTTTAATTTAGAATTATGTATCTACAATGTCTTTATTCAAAAAAAATTATTCATTATCAATAAATTAAATAAGAGAAATAATTTCATTAGTTATATTGTCTTTATTTTTCTCCAATATAAAAATTATTTACATTAAAATTCATCAATTGATAATATTCGCTACATTGTCCTACAATGTCTTTATTTAAAAAAAAAATTATTCATTATCAATAAACTAATTAAGAGAAATAATTTTATTAGTTATATTGTCTTTATTTTTCTCCAATGTAAAAATTCTTTACATTCAAATTCATCAATTGATTATATCCACTACATTGTCTATTATCTTTTTTGTACACTATTTTTTTTAATTAAATATCAAAGTTATAATACAAAATAATGCTATATATTTATTTACCAAGTATTT